GAGCAGGTGAAGTGCCAGCTGTCCCCTCCAGGTGCTCACGATTTGCTCAACACAACTCCCTGTCCACCCGGTACCCGGCCTGCGCCAGTTTCCCGCAGAGCCAGGTGAAGGGCAGATGGCTCTTGGGGCACATGAATTAAGGGAACTTGGCTGCTTCTGCCCACTAGGTGTAAGCCCTTGAGCCAAGGCTCCCCAGGAGGCTCTGGCCTCCAGGCAGATGGCAGAGACACACTTGTTGATATATGTTTGACGGCTGCATGAGTCAGACGGCTGCTGAATCAGAGCCCAGAGGAAATGCGTGATTGAAAAGTGGGCCGGTTACAGAGCAGCCAGCTCTCCACGAGCCATGGCGGGTTTGAGCTAGAAGATTCCTGGCTTCTTAGCCATGGGAGTTGAAGGAGCCCTGGATGTTTTGGGATTTGGCAGGAGTGCTGAGACCTGGTCCCAGAGGGGGAGACCTGGGCTGGGAGGTCAACAGAGCAGGAGAGAGCACGGGAAGGGAGGGGAGCTACAAGAGCAAGCTCCCACAGCCATGGCCAGGGCCACGTCAGCCCCTCCCACAGCCACAGCCAGGGCCACCTCAGCCCCTCCCACAGCCACAGCCAGGCCACCCTCAGCCCCTCCCACAGCCATGGCCAGGCCACCTCAGCCCCTCCCACAGCCACTACCAGGCCACCCTCAGCCTCTCCAACAGCCACAGCCAGGGCCACCTCAGCCCCTCCCACAGCACCCAGCCAGGGGACCCTCAGACCCAGATGCTTGAGACTTAGAGGGCTCCAGCTTCCAGTCTCTGGACTTTGTTTTAAAACCTTGAAAGTCCCAGGAAAACTAGAGTGAGTTGTTTGTCCTATCCCGAGCCTCCCAGCCTGCCAGCGCCATCTTTCTCAGGTGACCTGTGGGATGGTGGAATGGCCACCCCGGCTCACCTGAGGCACGGGACAGGATTGCCGAGTGTCTGTGATGCTGACGGAGACCTCACATAGCTCTGGTGGGCAATCACTCTCCATCCTCAGCCAAGCATACCAGACAGCCACCACCACATCTGGAACGTGTCCCCACCCGGGCAAAGGCGGAGTGCAGGACGGCACTCCGGGCCATCCTCCTCCCACACAGCCCCTCCAGCTCCCTGCAGCCACCAGGCTGAGCCCTGGCCTCTGTGGAATGAAGTGTGTGCACGGCACGAAATGCTCACTGCAGGCTGCTGGCCAAGGGGCCCTGTCGTGCATTTCACACACAGGGAACTGGGGGTCCAGGCCTGGTGAAGCTGGGATTTGAAACCACCTCCTCTCCAGCCTGTCACCCAAACCTGCCCTCAGCATCCCTGGCCTTCCCGGGAACTCTCCCCTGCAGCGGCTGCTGTGCTCATGGGCAGCTGCACCTGCTCCGTATTCTGTTCTCAGAACACAGTTCACGTTTCCAGAAAGCTGGCCGAGATCCAGGGGACAACCTGGGGATGTGGGGGACAAGGGTGCCGACGGCTGAGGCTTGATCCGCCTATAGGGCAACCCCCAGAATCTGCCAACAACCCCAGAGATGGCAGGGGTGCAGCCAGCTTGAGGCTGGAAGCGGTTCTGCCCTCCTCGCCAGCCTGCTAACACTCACTACGCGAACACATGGGCACCTGCAGCTCTATTCGTAAAGATCCTCCTTGGAACACCGTGCGTCCTGGAACACATGCAATTTCCATGCTGTGGGTGGGAAAATCTATAGCCAAGCTCTACCGATTATGTATGTTACGTATCTTCTGTGCCCCTAATTCCCCACCCGCCTTCATCCCCATAGGAAATCGGCTACTGATGAAATAATAAATACTTGTTGTTTTCAGCCACTGCTCCTGGGGCATTTTGTTAGACAGCAATAGATACTGAGAGAGGTGTTATTGTAAACTCACTTTTTTTTTCAATATAGCAAGAAGGCATCCTGCTAGCAACAGTGGTTGGGGGCCTGCGGGAGGGGAAGCACGGAGCCTCTCCTGCATGGGAAGCCTGCTGGCGTGGCCTCGCTCTGTTCACCCCCACATGTTCTCCAAGAGTGCAACGGAAACCCACTGAGCGCCAACTACCTACCAGGCAGCATTGGAGGGACTGGGGGTAAGCTGGTCAACAAAACAAGCAGGGACCCCCCACCTTAGGAGCATGCTCCCAGGGACCGCTCGTGTGGTGAATCTTCGGACGTGATTGTCACCCCAGGCACAATGTCATTACTTGCTTGGTAATGAGGACATGGCCTTGCTCACACCACTCGGGGAATCACAGAAAGCCAGAACCGTCCCCTGTGCGTGGGCTGCCCCTCATCAGCACTCCCACTGCACCCTAGAATCTGAGCCGTGGTGTCAGCGGGTCTTGGCCCTCACTGCTCATGGGACCGGCCGGCTCCCCTCCAGCAGGCAGCATTGGGAGTGTTGGGATCGGGGGAGCATGTCCCCAAGGCTCTGCAGCTTGCAGGAGACACTCACCCCTGCAGCCCTGCCCCCCACAAGGCCGTGCCCAGCTTCACCTGTCAGTGAAGGCATCAGCCTGGCCAAAGGCGTGACTGCATCACCAATGGGCACAACACGGCCCCGCCCGGCCCTTCCCAAACGCCTCACCGGCACTTTCTTTAAAGAGTCTCAGCTGTTTAGGAAGGGCTCCTGTCTGTAGAAATCAGGAGAGAAAGAGGCAAACAACGTGAGGTTAAAAGCTTCCAGCTGCTGAGCCATCCGTCTCCTACGTGCACAGGAGAGCTGAGAATGGCCGAGCGCACGGTGTGGCCGCCGGGGACCCTCACCAGGGACCTGCTATACACCTTGTATAGAGCAAAGCCTTCCAAGTGACATTTTCCTATGTGCTTTTAAGCAAATGCTCCATCACAATATTTGCACTAAGTTGCCTTTTATGATTTTTTAAGGTCCCAAGCTAACTCAAAGATAAATCTTTGAAAATAAGGGCAGCTTAGCCAAAAGGTCAGGGATTGAAAACCAAACAATGAGCTTCGGCAGAGGAAGCGCATGGTTCTGCTGCGTCCTGCTCGGGCTGGCAGAGCGACAGACCCCAGTGCCCATTGCTGTGGCCTTCCTCCTTGTGGGGGTCTCAACAGAGGCACCGGATGGCCCAGCCCATGGTCAGGCCCCAGGGTTACGAAGACAGTGGTGAGCCCCTGGACTCCCTAGTGTGGCATGGACACTAAGGTCCCCGCCCAAACCTCGGTACGCAACTGGTGAATTGCCTTCCAAAGGACAAATCCGGCCTATTCCAGCCTACTCCAGTGATGGATCACCTCACCTCACACCTGACAACCCATTCAACCTCGTTCATTCCCCACGGAGACCCGTCGGGAACAGCCCTGCCCTTCATTCAGCCACTATTCCTGTTTTACAGACGACTCAGTTGAGGCACAGAGACGCTAAGGACACTCGTCCAAATCTGAAGTAGCGGGGCCATCTGCTGGCTTCTGAGCCTGCTGTCCTGGCTTCCAGCAAAGGGACCACTGGCGTTTCCTTTGATGCCAGGATTTCCAAGCTCAGATTTTTGTGAGCTGCGGCTCCCTGAGAAGAGTATCAGCTTTTGTTGAACAGACCAGCCCAAATTGGGGTGAGAACGGAGTCCCGCTGCCAGCCATCAGTTCAGGAGCCTCGAATTCTCCCAGCTGGGCGGGTCTGGGAGGTGGTTTCTCAGCCTCCTGCTTCCCTCAACATCCTGTGACCCCCACGCCAGCCTGGCCAGGTCTCCTGCTCCCAGCGCAGCAGGTGCAGCCAGCGACGTCCAGGAAGGCCAGGCTGGTTCCCGGGCTGCACCCGAGCCACCCCTCCCACCCCTGCACACAGCGGGCAGCAGCTCCACCCAACCTCTCCAAGGGGTTCTGGGAGGAGGGAGCAGAGGAGTGGAGGGGAGGGCCTAGAGGAGCGACAGTGGTGGCCCCTGGGCAACCCAGACATGGGGGGCAAGCTTGTGCCTGGCCACCTATGCCAGTGCCGCCAGGTGCTGGGGGCAGGTAAAGGACAAGAATCTCACTGTCACCTGGCTCCCGAGCGGGGATGGAGGCCACCCTGGGAGGACACTCAGAGGGAGAGAGTGTGTCAGGTGCTGGGGCTGCCCCTCCCAAATCCTGCTGGGGCTTGGGCTCTCAGGGTGATGTCGATGACAAATCCAGGCAGTAAAAAGGGGCCCAGAGGGTGCCCACTCACACCCCATAGTGTCATGAGACCGGCCCAGGGTGCCAGGTGTGGGCCCTGAGCTGGGAGGGTGCTGTTCTGGGTGCCTGCGTTCTGCCTTCCCCCATTCACCCCTTCCCAGACTTTGATGAAACCATATGTGGCTCCCGCCCTCTGCAGGACCCAGCTGCCCAGCCCCTGCAGGTGTCCGCAGTACTGCCTCAGGCCATCCTGCCCCAGGTGATATCTATGCTCTGAGCCCCCACCATTCCCACTGGGCACGTCCCAGAGATAACGCATCACAGACCATGTGTGCCCATGACTGCTGCCAGATTTTAAAAGGAATTGCAAGAAATGTCATCTCCAGTGGTCCTAGAGTCCCCCTGGCACCCAGCTTCTGGCACCCTGTGGACACCCAGGAGTGGGGGGTGGCCCAGCCAGCTGTGCAGTCGCCCAGCCCTACCAGCGGGAGCTTCCTCTTTCCCTGCCCTCCGATACACCCTCACTGCCACTGAGCCAGCCCGGGTAGGGGGAGGTGCCCAGTTCCCTTCCTGTCGGGAGCGAGAAATTGCGGAGAACAGGGAGGAGGGCGGCGGGAAGGGTCCGGTGCACGGTACCGGCCGGCCGCACCCGCCCGGAATTCTGATTCCCTGGGGCCCTCACCCAGCCCGCACTGCCCCGGGGAGTGCGAGTGGGGGGGTGACCCTGCAGGCTGCACCCGGGCGGGGCGGGGACGGCGGCGAGGGCTGCTTCTCTCCTCCTCCGCCCCCCACTGTTGGGCGCGCCGCGCGGCCGCGGGCTCCGTGGAGACGCGCACAGCCGGGAGGGCGGGGGCGCGGCGGGAGGTGTGCGGGGCCGGGGGCGTGGAGAGCGCGAGGGAGGAGATTGCGAACGGGGGAGGGAGCGCGCCGGGGCAGCCTTGCGTGCGCTCCTCCCGGCGCCAGCAGCCCGCCCGGCGCAGCCCGAATCGGTCCGGGCGCTGCCGCCCGGGTGCCTGGTGGAGATCGGAGGCAGCGCGAAGCCCGCAGCCAGCACGGAGCCTGGAGACGGCCTGAGGAACCGCGAGGTCTGGAGCCGGGAGCGCCGAGCCCGAGGCGGCGCGTCTGGGTCTGCGCTTCCCGGCTGGACGGCGCGCCCGCTCGGCTTCGCCACGCGCCCTCCCCTGGGCTCCCTCTCCTGGGTCCCCGCCAGAGACGCGCCCACTCCCGCCCGGACTTCCAGCCCCGGAGGCGCGGGACAGAGCCGCGGACCCCGCGTCCTAATGCGCCTCAACACCTCCACGCCGGGGGCCCCGGGCGCGCCTGCCGCCGACCCCTTCCAGCGGGCGCAGGCGGGACTGGAGGCAGCGCTCCGGGCCCCGGGCTTCGGCAACGGCTCGGGCAACGCATCTGAGCGCATCCTGGCGGCGCCCAGCAGCCACCTGGACGTGAACACCGACATCTACTCCAAGGCGCTGGTGACCGCCGTGTACCTGGCGCTCTTCGCGGTGGGCACGGTGGGCAATGCGGTGACAGCGTTCACGCTAGCGCGGAAGAAGTCGCTGCAGAGCCTGCAGAGCACCGTGCACTACCACCTGGGCAGCCTGGCGCTGTCGGACCTGCTCACGCTGCTGCTGGCCATGCCCGTGGAGCTGTACAACTTCATCTGGGTGCACCACCCCTGGGCCTTCGGCGACGCCGGTTGCCGCGGCTACTACTTCGTGCGCGACGCCTGCACCTACGCCACAGCCCTCAACGTGGCCAGCCTGAGCGTGGAGCGCTACCTGGCCATCTGCCACCCCTTTAAGGCCAAGACCCTCATGTCCCGAAGCCGCACCAAGAAGTTCATCAGCGCCATCTGGCTGGCCTCGGGCCTGCTGGCGGTGCCCATGCTGTTTACCATGGGCCAGCAGAACCGCAGCGCCGACGGCCAGCACCCAGGGGGCCTGGTGTGCACGCCCACCGTCCACGCGGCCACGGTCAAGATCGTCATCCAGGTGAGCATGGGTGACCACCCGCCAGAGCGCCCCCCCCCCCCCCCCCCCCCCCCCCCCCTCCCCCCCCCCCACCC